GTATCCAAAATGAGCTCAGTCAAGGAAACCATCCATAAGGTGGATCCCTTTTCCGAGAGAGGTAATGTGAAGCTCGGAATGGAGACCATCTGCACGACATCATTTTTAATAATTGTTTTTTGAATAAAGTGAGATATTTTTTTAATATAAAATTTTCCATACTTAAGCATTCTAATGAATGCTTATTGTATACTTGCACCAAATATTATAAACACATATACGTAATTCATATCAGGCATCTCTGGCATACCCTGTAACTCTTCCCCTCTCTACCGGGAACTCCGAAAAAGATTAATTTGCACTGAAGGCTGCAGCAAAACCGTGCCCCTGATGAGGATCCTGGCGGAACTTTTCAACACCCAAAGGCTCATTTCGCTATCACTTGAAAGCCTTGCTTTCATACATTTCCATAATCGACAATCAGAGGTGTCGATGGTTAATGGCTAGTCAAGTTGAGTACCTTGCGTAGATGTTGTTTTAGAAAGTTGGATCGGTCGACCCTTGTGCCGTCTTTTTTGAACACACACACATATTTATACAGTATATTCTTCTCCACTTACAGAGGTACCAGTTGGGGGGGATTGCACACTGAGAAACGAGTGCGTGGCGAATGCCTTCTGTTTGTCTCCTGCCCGCGATCGCAGATGCCATTGCAACCAGGGATTCGTGGTGGAAGCTGGACGCTGCAGTGAGTCAATATCCCGAACCATTCCGATTAAATGCTTTTTGCTGGAGATTCTAATGATGTCGTGTCGGACTGGCATGGTCCAGAAAGAAATTAAGACGTCCAGTATCCTCGCTGACTTGGTTGCTTTTATTTTTAGCGCTCCATGAAACATTATTTACGCTATTTATTTCTCCAAGTTTCAGGTGGAAGAGTGTCTGCAGGGAATAAATTATTTTGCTAATAATGCCGTTTTGCTCAGCAACAGCGGTTATTGAATCACGGGGACGACATGGTATTTATGACGAAATGACTTCCAATAAGTCCTTAGCATGTTCCTGGTTATTTATTCACATGGAACCTCTTTCTAGCAGTGAATTATATATAGTTGCATTGGGATATACGATACTAAATGAGTCATGAACTGAACTTGGAGTTCATCGATTCAAAATTTTTATGCCCGTTTTTATGGCCAAGGTTCGGAAGAAATTGACTTTTTTTTAGCAATGAGGAAACTGGCATGATGTAGTGAGATATCGACGTCCGATTTCGACCCAGTTTTGATTTAACTGTACCGTACCATATTATATAAGTATATTTAAGAGGTTGTTGGGAGTTGAGAAAAATGTCAAAGAAAATGGAGAAACCCATGAATTGTCAAGTCATGAAAAATGATGACTATAAAGGTCGCTGCTTAATATTCTGGAGTTTAGCTGCCAAAGTGCTACCGAATATGGTAACCTGTACAACAGGGTCATGCTTCGTGCCCTAAAATAATTCGATAAAAGTGAGTAATAGGAAGCGTAATCAAAGTTATATGATTGCAAAACCTCCATCCTCATCACAGGTGATGTTTATTATGAGATTAGTATTTTAGAGTGAGTTGCATATGCTTAGGAGGTGGGTCCTATCACGTAAAAATTGACGTGGGCCCGACTCAATTGGTCCATGAGTTATGAGCGTAAAACTGAATAAACGCTCAGATGTTCTTTGGCTTTTAGCTATCAATTGACTCATGCCATTCAGAAAATACCCTCTGAATGAAACCGTTTTTGCTTTCCATAAGCAGATAAAGAATCTTTCTGAGAAGTCCAAGCACTCCAAGGATGACTTACTCCAGCTGTAATTTATGCGCTATCTCACATATGTTGTGAGAACTTTGTCCGGTTACCTGCAAGATTACGTGCTTGCTTCATATTCGTTACACATATTAGTTGGAAATCCGTTTGTGAAAGAAAGACAGAGGAATCTCCTAAATGAATCGGTCCTACAGTGCTACGCTACTGCCTATTTATTAACCAATCTGGTATGCATGAAAACGTAAAAAGGAAAATGCCCCATATTGATGATTGAGAAATCCGAACAATCATAGGGAATCCCTAGTTCGACAATGTATGTTTAATTGAGCGCATTCAGTTGTGACCCGAGTCATGACTCGAGGGTCTCACGTCAACGCTTGCATTGAGGCTTCAAAATAAATTTTACTCCTTAGTGACACATGTCAATGTCATCAATCCTGGGTATAATAGTTTTTGAAAAGCACCACACTTGCCGAGAATCATGAACCTCGAGTCTTGACCCAGGTCACAACTGAATGCACCCAGTATCGCAGTGACTACCTTCCCAGATGACGTAGGGAACAGTGGCATGGACTACAAGGACAATGATGCGAACAACGAAGACGTGAATGGGCACATGGAAGCTTTAGACCAGGGGTGCCCAAAGTGAATGTTCTTTAAGACACTTTGTGTGCTGGATGCGGCCCGCGGGCCGCACCTTGGGTACTCCTGCATTAGACAATGAGGAAGCCGAAGAAAACAAAGCCTGAAGCCAGCTGCAAAGATACGAATCGTTTCCATCGACAACTTTTATTTTATTGAACCCGCATCTCCCGCTGAATCTCCGGTCCAGGGACTACCGTACCACACTGGCATCTAAGGAGAAGACTGCATCAAAGGCTGCCTCCTAGTTCCTGATAAAATCATTCGGTAGGCAGGAATGTATTGCCATCACCGCGTCTTTGACGAGACGAGCGAGGACCTTATCACCAAGAAGACACAACAGCAATGTATCCCTGGTGGAATCGCACGAAACCTGAACCGATCCACGAGATTGAGAGATGGAGTCGGACAAGAGAAGAGCCGAATTCAATTACCCTACACACACGTTATCAGCGAATGCAACAGTTTCATGCGGGGAGATGACCATCACCAGAGAAGAGGTTGGCCTGCAAGTATGACTAGCAGATGCGGTACAAAATGGTGCTTGCCAGAGCATCTTGGATGGCAATTGCGAATGGGTGGTGCATGCACCGTCGAGTCTACAACAAAGGTCAGGAGGTGTCCTTTCTGAACGCATATGACGCATGCGCGCTCCAATCAGCTGCAACCAACGCATTGAAGGTGGTTGCGAAAAATGGCTTACAGCCAGTGTTCCATGCTCTTTACAAACGTGGAGAAAAGTGTATCGCAAGATCAGAGAACTATTTCGAAGGGGAGCATACTGAAACCAAACTTCTTTACTTAGGGTGTTTTTTTTTCTTCCTTTTAGCCCTAAAAGACCTTTTAGGTCCATTGCCAGCATAGGGCTAAATGCCGTTAGCAGTTAAAAGGGAGTACAAGAACCCACCCCTAGTTTTTATGCACAAAAGCTTGTCCTGGAACTTTCTGATGGATCTTCGTATGCTTTATGCTATGCAAAATGATGCAAGGTCTCTAAAAATCTACCTTATATAACACCATTGTAGTATCTAGACAATTATTACATAGAGGAAAGATAGAGCTTTTCGAACAAGCATCACCAATCCATTGTAGTATAATATTTGTTAAAGTTAAAGTGTATAGACCAATCTGAGTACTAATATAACCCGAAAATAAAGCACAATCTTCATGAATCCAGACGTCCTGGTCTTCAATGATATTCACGAAATGAATGCAAAGCCGTCCACTGGATTTCTACCGCCAAAAACTACAGCTGGGGTACGAAGCCATTCCAAATCAGGAAAGTTGTTATCTGAAGGATTTTCCAAATCCTTCAGATTTTGCCAAAGTAAATTCCTAAAAAGGCCTTTTCACTTGCACATTGGCCCCATTATTCCTTGCTACTTGTTGGCATCGTAAAATGTAGATATTGTAAGAAAGTTTCATGGAGGTCGCGCTTCCCTTTTAAGTACAATATCCTTCTCTTTCCCTTTGAAATTACTCTATTACAGGACCCCCCAAACTGGGTGAAGAATGCGATCCAGACGGGGATCCAGTTTGCGAACAAATCCCCAACGGAGGAGAATGTCTTTTGAATGGAGGCGGCTCACACACATGCCAGTGCCAGAGTGGATACGTGTCAGACGATGGCGCCTGCAGTGAGTGTTCTTCCATTTCGCTTCTGTTGCTTGTGTTTTGTCGCTTTCGTTTTACCATCTGACCCATCATATGTTCGAACTCTCTACTCGTATCATTTAAACGGACGAAATGAAGTTTCCATTGCATGGAGTTTTCACCCTAATTCCAGCTTTTTCCAACCTATATCATGGCCGCTATATCTCCCTCACAAGTTTGAATATGATATGAAAGGTGCCCCAATCTTTGTTAGCCATGCGTGTACAATCATGCCGGAACACGGAGCATGTACTGAAAGTCCATGGAGACCATCCCTTGATTTGTTCAATATGGACGTTTCCGATATGAAGAACTTTTCAGCAATACCAGTCCTCGTTCATTAGTTAAAGAGAGATAAAAAGTTCACTGAGAAAGTACGAAGTCGTAGCGACAGGCACTTTCGAACCAGCCAAAATTGCCGTGGACATTTCGTTGCAGATGAAATGTCGATATAGTTGTTGCACTATCTCGTAGGCGTCACTGATCGTCGCATTTGCACTTCTTGCAGGCAAAGGTAGCAACGAGATAATAAAAAAGATTTAGAAATTGGAATGTGGAATTCTTGGTGGCTGTCAGTTGAAGAAGGGTTATAGGGTCGCAGTCATTCATGACGTTTTGGTGAGTTTATGTGCAGACTAGCCATCGAGTGAATTGCTCCTGAATACGTGATAACAGCATGTACAGAACATCATACTAGAATGTGTGCCTAAGAATTCGAGACCGCCTAAATCTCATCTACTGTTTCCCACACTAGTATTAAAGGGTGTAAATGAAGTGCCTGTACTTACCTGTAGGTCCTTCTGCACAGCCTATGGCCTAGAAGGAAAGTCTTGTAGGCCGCGTGCAATAAGTTAAGATAGCTGAGACCCTCTTAGGCCACAAACTGGGCAGAAGAATTCATGTCCAGGGATGTCAGTTACATCTTATATAAATAAGGATCGCCCTCTATGCATCGTTTAGGAGAACTTCCTATGCTGCGTTATAGACTTTTACGAGGCTAGGCGAATCTTGGATTAAGCTTTTAATGGTGTGCATTGGACAGACACGTCTATATGGTTCCATCTCTCATAGCTCATATCATCTCTCATCCAAACTGGTTCTTTTCTTGCGTTTCACTTATAGGGCTACCCAGCCTGGGCGAAGAATGCTCTCCACAAACAGGCTGTGAACAAGTTTCCAATGGGGGACTATGTCTTATGAGTGTAGGGAGTTCATCACAATGTGATGAACATTTCTACACATTTTTTTCAATACAAATATCAAACCAGGAACTCCTTTTTTGTGATATTGTGAAAAGCATGACTTGAGAATGAAGTGATTGTATTATCCTTATGTGTAGAAAAGCCATTGGAAGGAGATTGCACAGACTCCATAGACTGTGTATCGAATGCTGCATGTAACACGGACTCAAAGTGCGAATGCAACCCAGGTTACGAACCAGAAAAGACTCCTGGCTTGTGCAGTGAGTTTGCATCCGTATGTCAATCCTGACACACATAATACTTTTGCAATTGTGTCTCACGTGTATGCGAATTAATCTAATTTTCTTGAGGCAAACATTCTCACATTAAGGAGATTAGCAGTTATTAAATAATCTATTCGCATCCAGGAATTTTTTTGGTATATCTGACCTAGAATTGTGCTGCTTTAGCCTAACGTGCAAGGTCTCGAAGCTGAAGTTTTTTCAGGTTATATGTTAGGTGGAGAAACATGAGATGATGCGTAGTAGTGAGCTTGTGAAAGGCAATATATCGCCTCTAATTATGTCAGTTCTTAAGTGTCATTTATGTTTCTTTAGCGCGATTTCATGCATCAAAAAACAAGGAAAATCGTCAAGTACAGGTAGAATTTCTTCAGCGATGCCCATATTCTCTCACCGGATTGACGGAAGTAATAGGTGCACAAAGGCCTCTTTCTTAGAGTGATGTTTTTCATTAGAGAGGTTGATATCCTAGGTTGACTTTTTGCCATCAGGTAGAGCAACGTAAATGCATAAGCTTGTTCAGCAATGCAACAATCCATTATGTCCATTATGAAAATTTCGAGTGCAAAATTATGGAATTTCCAGGGAAGGTGAATGCTAGCCTCCACGAGGATTGTGACCCAGGGGGAGGAGCATGTATAAGTCCCAATGCTGCATGTGTTGGCGATCCAGGCTTGGAAACCTGCTCTTGCAAACCAGGATTTGTGGACAATGAAGACAGCTGCAGTAAGTATCACGGTCTTGCTGTAGCATCCAAGCTTAAGAGTGCGCCAATTTAACTCTTGATATATTCCTGGACAATCGTCTACTAAGGCGGAGCTTGCCATCTTAACATTATGTGTGACATTTTTTATACTGCACCAATCAGATTTTAACGAGTCACTCTCAAACTCGAGTAATACTGATATTTAAACGCTTCCCTAGAGTGCGAGACGGTAAGGGCAAGTTTGCAGTTTCCTGCTGTTGCCATACCCTGTCTTTTTTCCTATATATCCATCTCCCTAATATAACTCAAAGGTGCAAAAGTATTTACCTCCAGTATTTCAAATATTTCTCGGGTGGATGGGATGAGTATCGAAACTAATTTATTCGCAAATGAGGCATGGAACAAGGTGGAAAAGTGACACAATTAATAGTTGACCCTTCCAATCAATCAAAGCCGAGCATCGCGCTTTCATCGATCCGACCTAATGATACAGAATGGTCAAGTTGATTCTGTCCCATTCTTCGTGCAGAAAAATTTTCAGTTCGTCGAGATTTGATGGTTTCCGCTTCTCGACACGCAGTTTGCAATTCGAATATAGGTTTTCGATCGGATCGACGTCGGAACTTTTCGACGGCCAGTCGATCGTTTCGAGTACTTCTTCGGGTAGGAACTGCTTCGTCACTCGACTTCTGTGGGTGTTATCCTGCTATAGTCGTCGGCGTCGACCGAACTACCTTCTGGCGCTACGGTGGAGGTGATCTTGAAGGATGTGAACGTAGTATGGGCTATCCGTATTTCTCTTGAACGAATGAGAACAAGGCGGATGACACTGAAGCCGTCCCACACCATAATCTTCTAACTGTTCTTTGGGATTCGCTTGAGCTCGCCTCTTGGATTTTTCCATCGACGAATCGTGTTTTTGAATAGTTGGTAGGGGGTCTCATCGGTGAATATTGTTCGGCTCTACTGTAATCGTCGTTCTCGTGTCGAATCACCCACTGGACGCGCGCATCTCTGTGCTTCTGTCAGCATTGGCGTCGCATGGGGCAAAGTATTCTTGTAGCCCATCACTTGAGCTGGCGTCGTACCGTCCATCGGGACATGTGCCGACCTCGGCTCTGAAGCAACTTTTGTGCCATTTCTTTCGCCGTTGTCTCATGGTTTCGTTGAATCTACTGGTCAGATGACTTGTCGTCGGCGGCGGTGATCTTGCGGGGTAGGCCACATCGGCGTTGGTTCTCCAATGTGCCTCGTTCTTTGATCTCGGCAATATTGTACTCGACAGCCCGAACGGGGATCTTCGTCAGACGAGTAATTGTGGCAGGATATCCATGGCCGTTGTTCTAGAAGTGGAAAATAGTTAATCGCTTTGTTTTCGGCGAAGTAGAATTTCGTCGTTCAGGCATTTTCTCCCAACTCAAGAATGTTTATGACGATTTGCGGTTTTCACAGCTACATATTAACCAGAGGTGTCCACCTGGCGGCCCGCGGGCCGGATCCGGCCCGCCAATTTATTTTCTCCGGCCTGCGAACTCCTTTTTAACAGTTGATTTCGTAAAACTGCTGTCAGTTTCAGTTGTTCACATAAAAAATGTGGTGCACATGTTGCAAGATTCGTTAGTAAAGCCCCCAAACACGCCTTAACCAAATCATTTGATCCCCGCCAAATTGAGCTGGGCACTGCTGTTATAGACTTTTCCTCACTTGGAAAGTTCTCGAAAAATCTCCATATATTTCCTGAGACATGCTTCCAGAAAGTTGGCTTGTGCAAAGGGCAAGGACTCTTGCATCTTAGTGTACCTTCCCTCTCAGTCAAAACCTGGGTCTATTGGTCCTACTTCGTTTAACCTGGTCCTATTTCATTTACAGGACTTCCCAGTTTAGGTGAAGACTGCATTCCTGCACCGGGACCTGCATGTGAAGAAATCCCTAACGGGGAATGTCTCGGTAATGAAGGAGGCCTTGCTACATGCAAGTGTTTGAACGCATTCGTGGAAGATGGAGGCGCCTGCTGTGAGTAGCATGGCATCTTTTAAATTTCTTCTTATTTTTTTATTTAGCGGCTGTGCTTTCTCGAAAAGGAGAGATGCCACTTATGGTCCAGTCCTGTCTGTATATATGCATTCGTCTGTCTTCCACTTTCCTACCACGAAGATAACGAAAAATTTTGATAGGATCACTGTGAAAATTAGCGAACTTTTACACATTGACATGAAAGCAAAGGTCGGTGTTTGCAAGTTCGTGCCGAACAACGTCATTCTTGGGAGTTTTGAAGTCGGGGTTTTTCTTGCTGTTAATTGTTCTTAATGAATCTCGCCCTGAAGGCGTAGGCTCATCGCTCAGACGGAGTAGGGTTGAGTTGTCCCTGAATGAAACTGGCAGTTCCCTTCGTAGTTAACGAATTCATTTCAATTCACAAGTCGGCATAGACAGCATTGTTAGCCTGGCTCATGTGAAGTGATAGATAACAACTTGACATGAGTACACTTTTTTACATACCTGCTCCTATATATCACAAATGTTTTACGTGTATGCGGTTTCAAATTACAGGTATGTTTTATATGATACATATTAATGAGATGAATAATCTCATAATTCTATGGACTCATATCCATTATCAACACAGAACTGAAGCACTAGTACAAAAGGAGGAGTTATTTTCATTTCCAATACTTCTGCACTGCGATTGTGTGGATACGCACCGCATCAGTCTATACGTTACTGAGAGTCAATTATAAGTTATTCCACTATATGAAGACATTGTTTCCAACGGATTTACTTAAAAGAAACGCTTGTTTAGTTTGCGAGATCGTGCTTTTATTTCAGACATGAAATATTTTTCAGATATGAAATATTTCATTTTAGAATGGTATACGTACTTGGGGGGGGGGGGGGGCAGAAATACAGGAGCTAATGAAAAGTTGTCTTGGACACACAAAAGAGTAAAGGGAACCTCGGAAATACTAGCTGTTGCCGCCTATAGCGTTTCCATGACCAATTGAAGCATTCCTTAAATGTTGATGGAGTACGGTCCACTGTAGCACTAAATTTGCTGATCCTCCAATGTTTTGGTTTGGGGTAGAGGTATTACTGTAGGTGATGAATCATGGGACGATCGGAAGCATTCCCTAAGACCTAGCTTCTTTCGTCACTTATCTCTCTCCGTGGTCTCTACAACCATCATTAGCTGGTAACAGCTGACAGAATGACCAGAGAGGGACCATGGTTCTCCGTTGGCGAGGGACTTTTTTTTCGTGAATCCACTCGGTAAAATACCACTCTGCAATATTTATTTCTCTTCGCAGATATACCAGCTGGAGAGAATTGCACGCGAGCAGAAAAGTGCGTAAATAACGCCGTTTGCGTTGAAACTACGGGATATCTTCAATGTCAATGCAATACTTCATTCGTGGCGGAAGCAGAACTCTGCAGTAAGTCGCCATCCCTCGCATTCCCGCTTAACCCTGTATTACATTATGTCGACGTATGTGGAGGACGCTGATATACATTTTTTTTATAGCTCCCATTCCAGCCAACAACCATTCGAACATGATTTCCTTGTTCGTAGAATCCCAAAGTTTCAGAATAATGTCGGAGTTAGTGCGCAATGCCAACCCCATGTGTCCTCTGATCCGGAATGCTATCAGAATACGTCTCCATAAGCGTGGACACGATGCAACATTGGATTACGCGTGTTTTACGAACGATTACAATGATGCCACTTTGTTACCGAGTGGAAGCATCGTGGGGATGATGATCATGATTGATCATTGCACCAAGGCAGTTAATAAATAAATAAGTAATTAATTAATTAATTAATTACGTCTCCTGACGGCGTTGCTGTCTGCCGTCGGGAAGCGCCAATCAAAGCTCTTACGTAACATTATTATTCTTTGTGCAGAGATACCAGTTGGAGGGGAATGCGCCCAATCGGACGATTGCGTTGATAATGCCGTTTGCAACGAGACTACTATCAATCAAGTATCCACGTGCAACACGGGATTCGTGGCCGAGAAAGAACTCTGCAGTGAGTCATAACGCTTTATCAGTCTGTTTAAAAGTATTTCGCATGCTTCAGAAGTATTCACAGAGATCGACACTAGCGCTTCATCTGCCGTTGCGAAAAATTAATTTGGAAAGATACCCAACGAGAATGAACGACTCTACCCACACCTGGATTCACGTTTTCATATCGTTGCAACTTTCGGATTGCAACTTTGGATTTTGAGGGTTGAATGAAGCGAATCTTTGAACTCTCATTGATAATGAAATAACTATTCATATAATTGTGTCTTTGATATGCAGTATGCACGTAGGAAACCCTACATGGTATATGTTACGCTTCCTCCCGTAAAAAATAATGGTAGGACATTTTATTTGAGGAGAACCTCAGCAATTTTTAGCAGATTTTGAGAGAATCAGACAAAATAGGTGAAAATAGGGATAATAATCCTCATTGAATCGTTACCACTATTACTGCTATTTATTCATGGTAACTGATACCATTTGGCATAGAAAAAGCAAAATCCTCCTGGGGAAGCCTTCTAAGGGAATCTAGCCATTTTTTTTTCTGTCGAAGTAGCAATAAAGGGAAAATATTTTTCCTCTGTAATGTTGGCGAGATTTCAAATGTTCTTTATTGTCTACGTTTACACATGGCTATGGTTGAATGGAAATAAAAAATTACAGTGACTCCGCTTAGTGGAATACTCACGGGACTAGTGAACTTTATTCTACAATCCGGAGTATTCCAATAATCGAAACAATCATACTGTACTTCTACTTTGTACTTCAGGCAGCTTTTAAAATGTATATCTTAATGTACAGTACCCGTATTTGTGCATTCACCAATTTTAAGAATTCGTTTTGCGCATTACAATATTTTGCTACCTTGTTTTTGGTGATCATTGAAACTTGGAGCTGAGATCCCAAACTATCGAGCGAGTTCAGCTTGCGTCTTCTTTTCGTCCCGATGAGCTCTCAGAACTGCAATATTTTCGGCCAGGCTGAGGTCTTTCCTTTTCTGCATGGTCAACTCGGAATGTGCAGAACTGATGCCTATAGGCTCAATTCATACTTCATAAATCTTCTTTCACTTTCGCCTTAAAAAAGGCAGGCTTATTTGCCTCTTTTCCGCATCTGCAGCCTATACTTACCCCAATTTTGTTTATAGGAGAGGCTGTGCTTGCCTTCCCTCCCGTTCCGCCCTCGATTCACGGAAGAGTCAAGTGGGAAGTCATGGCCTTGGTTCTACGATGCGGGAGTATAGGACTGGGGAAGGGTAGGATGGTACTTTCCAACAATGCGAATAGGGAAGAAAGTATTTCATTTCGCAATGAACTGAAAAAAAGTATTGCATATTTCAGGAAATTTCATTCCTTGAAGCGGATTATTCGAATAACCGTATTCCTTTATGCAAAGTTTCCCATAATGTACCCTATGTAAGAAAAATCGGGACCGTGCAGTGATATTCCATTAAGCGGTATTCGATTATGCGGAGTCGACTGTATATTGTGAGGTTTTCCAAAACATATTAAAAACCGTTCTTTAAGTCAAGAGTACCAAAACCCCCCAATTTCGGCGGCATTCTCACCCATGGCCAAATCCGGAACAGGTGAAGAAACATGCAAAGTCTTGAAGGGCTTGATCCAGGGAGGCTATTGGTGTATAATTTACTTTGTTTTGAGCTGTCCTTCCTACTCTCCTGCCCACCGGAAGTTGACTCATCTTAATACCACGGTCATGCCTATCGACTGGCTGGGCTTTGACCTTTCGACTTACAAAGAGCTCTTGGGCAATCTGCATTGCTTCCTGTGTATGTTGCTACTCATCATTCCCTACCTTCCAGATTCCACCTTTGTCTCGCGATACTAGCAAGTATCGTCCAGGTTTATAGAGAAACTTTTGGATATGTCTTCATTCCGGAACGCCACCAACCATAATACGCTTTACTTTGAAAACGGTTGTGTAATAATTATGGGACATCATGAAGTCGATGTGCTTATCTCCACTTTCGCCCCAATGGAATTTCGCACCCGCATTCTGATTGATAATAATCACAACGATGTGATTTAATCTTTGACCTAACCAAATTGGGGCGAAAGTGCATGAGGGCGACTTTCCACGCGTGATTTTCATGACTGATACCCATATCTGCCACAACCCCTAAGAAGGGGAGGCAAGGTCAACTCCCAGTTTCACAACCACTCCCTGTGTAATATGGATATTGACATGCCCGGAAGAGGAACTTAACCCTTTGCGTTCCATTTTATTTGTAACGCCATTGAGATTGTTGGACTATATCCGACAGTGGATCGCAAAAGTTTAAACATTTTTGAACTTATGGCTTATATTTAGAAAGAACAATCACACGTAGTATCGCGGCTGGTCATTGCTAGAGACTGGGTGTGCCAGGATGGAGGAAGAATAGAAATACCGAGACTGAGAGGCTCGGATTGATCGTCTTCAGAATCTGTTTACCTATTTCGGACTCACGAAATTGATGATAACAATGTATATCAAAGCCCTCTATATATTACGTGGTGTCATTTTCGTAGACCATCTGTTCCTTCGGATACAGTTTGTTCAGTTGTAATTTTCTTTAGCCTAATGATCTAATTTTGTTTTATACCATCATTATATGACTGCTTCATAACATCATGATTTCTGAATCCACGAGGTTCCACGAACAATTCTATCTACTCCCGAGTCATTTTCAGTATCCGCCTTGCACAGGGTGGAAAAGTGAACAGGGAAGTACCCCCTTTTAGAGGTTGAGGGAAACGCGATTATCAGTCATGAAATCGACGGTTGGAAAGTCGCCCCTGTGCATTCTCGCTCCCGTTTATTAAGATGTCATGAAAGGGAAAATTTAGCAACTATTTATGAATGAAATCACGGGGGCGAAAGTGGAAGACACCGTCGAAGTGCTGCTTGATCTGAAGCGATTAATGTGCTTGATGAGAAAATCATGTAGAAGATTGAAGTTAGTTCAGGATTGAGGACCCCTCCTTCAGAAGGATCTGAACCTTCTTTTGGCATGACAGCTATTCGGGTGCTACCCTTTCCGTCAAAAATGCAGGAGAAAGCACCCGTGCCAACCTCTTCCCTCTCTGCTGATGCACTCCACGTTTCACCTTGTCCAGCTGTCGCGATCACTCCAGATGCAAAGACAAGCTAGTTATTGTGGTCAATGTCTGCAAGTGGTCCCAAGATGCTCTCCTACCGGCCCTGGTCATTCTCTTGTTCGTAAAATAGTTGGGAGTCCTCCCTCCTCTTCAGTCCTTTCTGGAAAGCATGGATAGTCTGGTTTAGGTATCATATTTAAAAAAAAGTTATGTTTGATATATGTAGCACTTTTATAGTTGCTGTCAACAGGGAGTCGACTGATGTTATGTTTGTTATTGAAAATTAACCACTTTCAGGAAAATGATAAAAACAAACATTTTAGAGTTTACTTTTAGATGGGGGGAAATTTTGCACAATATGTTATGAAGGTATTCTTTCAGGCAGGACAAACCAAGACACGCCTGGGACATGTGCATTGTGGCTTCTTCCTCTTCTCATTGCGAACAATTTTCGGGGAAAGAGGGATTCATTTTGTGCTCTAATGAGGGAAATGAGAAGCAATCATGGAGGAGCTGCCAGACAGTATTTCCATCTACGTTGTAATTTAAATGAAGGAAGACTGAGTACCTTTTCCAATTGGCATAACAACTTCGGTCTCCGGGATAAGCTGTTGGTGGCTTGGAAAATAAAACTTTGTTTTTGGAAAAAAAATATATGTAGTGGAATATCACACTGTGGAATCAAGGGACGGGACATAATGTGAATAAACTATCTCTTTAGAGTGAGTTTAATGGAGGGCATTGGTGCGATACGATTTGAAGATGAAGATGATGCTGATGAAGAGAAGGCTTGGTGAAATCTCCGTGCTAATGGCAGCTATTTCTAAGCAAAGCTGTCTACGCCCCCTATGTGTCGAAGTGGTTAGACTCTCAACGATCGGGATGAAATCGAATTAAGCTTAAAAGTACTTGATATCAGGTCCTAGTGAGATTGAAAAGAGGTGCAAGTCCAGGCAGAACATAAGTATATTTCGATTTCTGCGTAACGCAGACGAACAAAATGAACATGTTTACAAAGATGAAGTAATCGTGCGCTCGAGGATGCCGTGGATTTTGAATATCCAGCTGTGAAAGAAGTTGTATATACAAGGGGAAGTGCAAAAGTAGTGAGACTCGTGCTTTTATTGTCTCTTTCTTTTGTTGTCTTTCTTTCGATAAAGGAAACCATAGATGGAATAATTTGTATCGAGGCAGAAAGACTACCTAAAAAAATAATTTATACCTTTGTGCGAAAATATACCCTTTAAGTCCTGTCAACATAATAACGAAGTCTCACTACTTTTGCACCTCCCCTCGTTTTTGTAATATGTAAATATTCTTACGTCTTAAGAACCAGTTGTTGGATTAACATGGAATATGTGTGGGGCTCAATTTAACCCTTTCGTGCATGATGTCCACTGCACTGCAGTGGACGGCAATATTTTTGGCGATAATTATGAATTTTCAGTCATGGTACTCATACCTTGAAACTTTTGGTGCGTGCAGTGAACTCAAAGGCACATAATCTGTTCAGTGTTGCTTTCAAGCAGTAGAACATTCTACTACTACGGCAGAGTACCTCCTTAAACGTTAAACCATCAATGGCATATTTTTGTCTTGCTTTAAAAATTCATGCACGAAACGCTTGCAGGGCTGTAAATATTTCGAAGTGATTACTGGAAACCCTGTACTGTGACAGACAAATTTGATGACGAATTCAAGGAACAACGCGAATTGACCGGCTTAATAAATTATAATATCACTTGCATCAATGAATCCCATTGCATCGTTGCATTGCAACGAACGGGGGACACTAAGTCAAACATGTGGAGATCCTAATGAGGATGCCTTATCTCTTTTTTCAGAGAGGAAAGCTGGAGAGAACTGTACGATGGACGCGGCAGACTGCAGGAGCAACGCCACCTGCACGGAACTTGAAATTGATTTTCACGAATGCAAATGCAACCGTGGATACGTCGCTGACAACACCACTGGACAATGCAGTGAATCATCATTCATAACTCTCCGGAGCTGAATCAGATTCTTCACCCTGAAAGTCTTTCTTGGCATATACACAGAATAATTATTTTACCTCGAGAAATTCTATTTCAAAGGTCAGGAGAGATAGCACCATTCCAGAGCGTGGAATGGATCTCTCTCAACTCATGGAATTTGGATCAAAGGGATCAGTGAATGTTACCCAAGGAAGCAACTACAAGGTGTCAAAAAAACTGTGCAAATCATTTCCGCTAGTAATAAAGTAATTTTAATCTGATTGACTCAATGTTTTAAACACTATACTAGCGGCCTGCGGCCGCTACGCTGACCGTCTATTATGCGGGAATTTGAATCGTCTATTGTGAGCATAACGTCTTCTTGCCAATACTCTGTTCATTGCATTACCCATTCGGAACTGAACCACTTCATTGTATTTATATACATATTGCTTACAGTACACAGGAATATTCTGCTCCTAAACACCATCATGATATTCGAGGTGATTGTCACAATCGCCATTGTGAACGCCTCGGTTCAGCACGTTTTCGAGACTCAAGACGACATTGCTGATTTCGTCTTCCTGGCACATTCAACACTCTTGCATCACCGATTAGCTCATCGGCTATTAGCGTTAGCGTATGGTACAGACACCAATGATTCTGAAACAGTACGGACCGTTTCCAAGAAATTGTTCGACGACACAGAGGGAAGTTAGTGCATGTGCGGCACAATACTAAAGACTCATTCCTAAAAATGCCAAACTTGCATCAAGTTGCTTAGCAGGCTCCACGGCTCTCCTATTCCGGAGCTCAGCATTCGCTGCCTCTTGCTGTTCAGCGGTCTGAGCGCCCCTAAGCTCCCAATGTATATGTGCTTGCTGTTTATCACCGATTCTAACCATTACGGCTAGCACCGATTTAAGTACTTCGTACCGCAACTGCCAGAGCAACCGTTTTTTACCAGCAACAACTGCCTCATCGTCGTCCTGTGGGAACTCCTTTAGCATTTCTTCTACGCGTTCAACCTCACCTCGCAAAAATCGCCACCATTTTGATGGGAAAAGCGGCCCGATTGCGCGACGTATGAAACAGAGAACGTACGATATTATTTTGATTTCATCAATCGTGAGAACTCAAATAAATCAGCCATGAAACGCAAATAGAAAACTATTGGATGGAAGCGATGTCCCGAACCAACACGCCTGACCAAACGGAAAGAAAATAAAACGTGACATGCATTCAGTTTTTACCACCCTTTGATTGGCACAGTTAAGTATGAAGCCCATGGCTCAGACTGATATAGCTCGATGGACCTGGCGCTAAAAGCGTTGGATGGCCAAGCTTATGGCCTAGAATAACATAGCTTGAAGGACCAGACGCTTTGAGAGGTAGATGGCCTATCGTTTGGCCTGAAGTGACAGTATTGTAGTCCTCGCGCGCTAGGGTGACAACCACCACCACCACAACTCTCGGGCTCTTCGAATTAACATGATATAAGATGGCTTACAAAGGCGTAGCCCTGTAGGCCTGGCGCTTTAGGCCGTGGATAGCCTGGCCTATGATCCAGAATGGGATTGCATCGTAGGCCTGCGCGTTGGGGGTGACAGTCACGGGCACGACCACCACCACCACCACCACCGCAACTTTCGACCTCTTCGAATTAATATTTTAGATGTGAATAGAAGAAATATGGCATGTACCTAATTTAAATAAAATTGACGCATTGTATCACGCTCTATGCCAGTTAATGCTCGACAGGTAAACATTTCTGTCGTACCAGCCCGCTGATGCGCTCGCCTCGAAGTTCGTGTGCGACATACGGCCTCGACTTAATTTATTATTAAGTCGAGGCCAACACTTAAAATTAGCCAATGGGACAAAAGGGAGTCAAGTTGCATATCCAATCTGGATCCCGGATTTTGAGGAGGGTACCCTGGCTCCTCCCGGAGGTACCAAGGGTATCAGCGAGAAACTTGGACGCTGGAGTCAGTCGCTATTTGGAAGGCACCACTGTGACCTTAGCAGAGCTGACTCTAGGAAAACCTACTACCTGTAAGGTTAGCCTTGTTCCTTGGTTATGTGAGGAGTGTGGCCCGAGTAACAGAGAGAGAACAGTAAGGTCATTCAAGGTTAGAATTGTCCCCAGTCGGACCCTTCTCCCATCCAATATTAATTGTTACGTTGATTACTATTATCCTATCAAAGAAACTCCGTTTTATTTGAAGTGTCAAAAGAATACTTGGATAGATTTAATGTTGTTAAATTCTTTAACAAGTACGGTGGATAACTGTTTCTTTTGAGAATTCATTATTGTCTTTATTTTAAAGAAAGTTAAGTACTTTGTTGGAAGGATCACGAGGATTTCCATTTTTCCTTAATGTATATATCCTAATGTGTATATCCTTGAGGCTATACCCACACAATCGCTTTTTTCGTTTGAAGGAGAGCAAAATAAGGAGCGAGAAGATCACTTTGAGCTCGCTTGTCTGGAAGAAATGATTGAAACCTTTGTCAACTAGGTCATGAATGTAGGAAATCCGGTGGTCATATTTAACTACAAAAACTGCAATGTTGGTGTGATGGACGAAACTCAAGATGTTCATAAAATCAGTAAATTTGACCAATCCGTGTTTCCAGAATAAAAAAAGTATCGTCTAATAGTCGGAAATGGTTGATTTCGAGTCGCGTTCTTCCCTATTTGTCTTGGATCTTATTGCCACAGGGATTGGTCTCTCCTCTCTTATAGATTATTTGCAAAGTCCCGGAAGAGGAACGTAAACATAGACTCTGTGATAAATAGAAGGAAACTGGGCTGAATAGAAATTGTAATAATTGAATCTTGCCTTTGAGAGGCAGATGCTGTGCTCATTACCATCTTCATTTTCTGAAAGAAAATTGACTTTGGGAATTTAGCGGATTTTCTCATATCTTCGTTATTCTACTCCAGTTGAGATGGCTAATCCAGATCAGAAATCCTTTCAATTTTTTAACAAGCTGTATTTCTTGCCTCTTCTTAATCACCTCTATCAGTCACGGTGGCAGTGAATTCATTATTTCTGGAAAGGTGCATGACATCCGAATGTTTATTTTAAATAGATCGACTCGCCTGGGATTTGGACCAAGAGCTAAACAAGAAATGGATAGTAGGGTTGAAGCCATCCGGAGAGCATGTACCAAGTCGAAATTTCAGACAATTTTCTAACGAATGATGAGATTCCTGGGAAGGGTGAAAGTGATGTACTGTAGACCATGCACTTTGATATTGTTAACAGAGTTTTTTTTTCAAGATTCAAGATAGTTAGTGATATCAAGAGGCGATCTCGCCCATTTCGATATCACGTGTCGAGGTCGAGCGTTCCATAATTTTAGGGTAGGCCTAACCCTCTTAAAGCTATATATT